TTGGCTGATTCTGTGATAAATTCGACTTTTTGTCCATTTGTGAAGACAAGAACTAATGATTAGATTTTAAATTGAGACCAAAGAGGAAACTGAAATGAGTGGTGTAAGATGTGGCAGATGTGGCTGGTATGTGGCTAGTGGACGGAATGTGTAGTGCAAAAGTTGGCATCACATGGCAACACATGACCATCTCTGAAATTTTGAAGTTTACGTAGCATTGCATACTAGACGGTTAGATGCTCGATGCCGCATCAACTGCGTTCAAAACCATTTTCAATATATTCAGTCGGCTAATCGCTGAGCACATTCGGTTCTTTCTCGCCATTTTCTTCGATTCTGTGACCGTCCACTGGGGCGGATGCAAGGGATTTTTCCGTTTCCTCGCTGTGAGCTTGAAGCTCTTCACTACTGCTGGCAATAGCTTTGCTTCTTGAGATGTTTATAGGATTATCCAAGCCTTTATCTGGCTTCTCTGGTGAGGCTCGGAGCGGTGAAGCTAGATTCTTGACGTTTTCGTCTCTAATGTTATCTCTCATTATGCTCTCCATCCTCAAATCTTCCTCGGTCGAAAGAGCGTTGACACAATCCCAAATGCGTTGACCGGAGTTGTTGTACCCCGTAACTTCACCAAGTTTCTCCCGGAAGTAATCAATATCTCTCATCACTACTGCTTTCTCAATTGCATCACGGAAAGCTAAATTTTGGTAGCAGTCAACAAATGATTGTTCGTAACCCTCAAAGATTCTTGAGAGAACATCAGTGTATTGAGATTCTGGAAGATACCGTTGCAAAACTCTGGCAATTGTCAGAGTTTCTTTGACTAATATCTCCATGTATTTGTGAGCCTGTTGATGGGGGAGAGGTTGAGACCAATTTACAAGTTTAATTTCCCGAGAATGAACATGCATTCGATCCGTCATGAGTGTAATCAGCTTGTCAAATATTTCATACTGATGATCTCGAAAAATACCAATTATTCTATCAAATTCGCCTTCATTGAAAATTTGGGCTTTGCTGTGCTTCTTGAAAAATGCTTTCAAGTATGGAGTTAGAAGAGCCAGGAAATTCACAAATTGCGATGCCACTGCGAGATACTTTGGTGTGATATGTTTTAAGCCAGCGGTTTTAGTTGCCTGCGCTCCTAATACTGCCTGATGAGTCTTCAAATTAAGCAGCTTTAGGAAATCAACGATATATGTATCGTTTGAGGAGTTGAACTTTAATTTGATTATCTCGTAATTTTTGATCATAACAAGCACCTCAGATATCACCTCAGGCAATATCATTGATTGTCCTTCAATTGTCAAAGTCTTCCTCTCAGATATATCATTGGCTGAAGTGTCGGTTTTTGAAACCGGGGAAATCTTAGAGTGGAATGAGAGCCAATCCGCTCCACTAAAATCATCCGATGCAGACTCCACTATCTGGTTGAGGAGGTCTTGGATATGCGATGGTATTGAGCATTCTTTCCACATTTCTTTTTCAATTAACTGTGTCATAATTTTCAATGTCGTTTTCTGGTATTGCACATTGAATTTTGAAAATTGAGCAGCCATCACATCTTGAAGAGCCGACGTTTTGGAAGTACCGCTGGAAATCAATTCGCACTCAACATGAAACATTGCGCTTATATCGAAGAATCTTAAAAAATATTCCAATGTAACTGAAGAATTCTGTACATCTCGAACACCAATTATTTTCGACATTCTCCTCTGGACCATATCAATGGACTCTGAAATAGACTTTGTAAGATCGAGATCCAGAGCCAGATCGGGTTGTTTTTGGAATATATTGGAGTCGATTGCACTCATAGAATCAAGTCCCATTTCAAGTAGTATGCGCCTATGTGTCGTAAGCCTGCGCAGAGCTTCCGAAAGCTGGCTGAAAGTTCTTAAGAGCATGTCTTCAAATTCTCTTGGAGTCATAACTTTAACGCTGTTCCCAAGATTTCCTTGTCCACCATGTTGAGCTGTCGTGCTCTTACTCCCGTCAGATCTTCCAGAGATACTTCCTTTGGAGGTACTTTCAATTGATTCACCTGGAAGATTTGACCTAATTATGCTTTTCAATTCTGTCGAGAATTTGTCCTCGTAAGATTTAAAGGCAGATCTCATTTCTCCACATCTTGCAAGTCCATTCATATATTCTTTTAATTGGTTTGAAAACTTTGCGTCAATTGATTTGTATTCCAAGTTCAGAGTGGAGCTATCACTATTTTTAGACTGTTGTTGAAGATTTTTTTGTAGTCTCTCAATAGTCCTCATTTGGGGTATCTGCTCATAATGATTCCTTAGATCGACGATCAAGGTATCGTTGAATAACTTTGAGTATGACTTTCCAGTATCAGCGACCAAATTTACAAGAAGCCGTTTGAGTGGAGAAAGCGCACTAACTCTGTTCAGATCCTCGAGAGGATAAGGCCACTTTTCCACAATATTATCCACAAGAAAATGAGATGGATTGTTTCCTCGTATTAGAGCAAACACAGAATCTGCTAGTTCAAGGGCTTTGTCGTAGTTAGCATTGTAATAAGACGACTCGGCCAAGTCCGCTTGGTGCATGATCGTGAAGATCTGTAGTAAACCTTGTTCCAATTTTTCTGCATTCTTCCGTCTTTTTACCAAATCAAGAAGATTCATTGCCTTGTTTGCTTGTTGCTCTTCAACCAACTGCAAGTCTGAATCTAATTTACCCAAATATTTCGTCAGATGGTTGGACTTCACTGTAATGTTATTCAAGTCGCCAAGAGCACTGAAAAATGACCCAGATGACTTTGAGATTTCTCGTATGAGCTGAATCTCTATGATATCAAGGTAAGAAGATAATTTCTCTTGCAGCTCGTGATTATTCACTAATCGTCTCTCGCTGCCATCTTCATTAAAATCGGTGGTGGACTTCAAAATTGTACAATTTTCAATAACTTCCGCAAAAATTCGAGGGTCATCCAGTCGAAAGTCTTGACTGAAATAAACATGCGGAATGTTGATTAAGGAATTCTGTTCAAGCTCAGCTTCGTCTTTCTCACTTGGAAGAAAATTGGTCTCAGAGGTGAATTTTTCAGTACTCTCCTGCCCTTTTCCTCGATCCAACTGATTGATGAATGCCTCCAGTGTCGATTCGGTCAATGTTTTGTTTAACTTGAATTTTGAATACTCGTTTTGCAGCAAGTCAGAGTAGGATTTCAGCTGCGAAGACTTGACTTTCGAAATTTTTGACAATTGAGTCATGGGTATATCACGGGTGGTTGGTCCTCTTAAGCTAATTGAAGCCTGGCTACTTCCTAAAGAAAGCTGACCTGAACTAGTAGCACGTTTGGTATAGTTCAAGTTTTGGACTAACTCAAATATAGAGTTTTTGCCCAAAGGCGAAATGCTGGCTTCCGATAATTTATTGACTCCAAGCAAAACTGACGACTCAGGACGAGCATTATAAGAAAAAAGGGAATTCTCTGAATATTGGCGACGATGATTCGTTCTGCTAAGTACAGAAGAGTGCGAGGTGTTCAATTGCTGATCTATGCTTGCCAAATCATCATTTATACTAGGTGCCGTACCTGTCGAAGACTCAATTCCTGCGGAAGCATCCACCGAAATAGAAGGATCAATACTGTTCTCAACGTCGGAGGCAACGTCGAGTCGCGCATTCTGACTTGGGTCAAGATTGTTGTTTTTGTCAGAACGATCCTTGTGTCCAATCATAGGAGACGAGCTTGGATGCTTGGCACTAGCATTATGACCATTTCTCGCTTCAGATTCCATTGAGGAAAAGAGAATTTCCGCCTACCCCAATTGAAAAAAGAAACTTTTGTGTTCTAAAGAAAACGATTAGTTGTTATCCAACTGAGCTGAACGTAAAGAAAAATATGTCTACTTCAAAGTCCATTATGTAATGATTATGTCATTAAATAAATAATTATATTGAAGTATTCCCTTTCCGTACAGGAAAATTGCAAAATCCATCAACTTAGATCATTTATACTCAACGCAAAGCTAGTCGGCAGGTTTTATTAATAGGTTGGAGGTAAGATTTGTTATTGGTTAAGTCTGATTATAATGCAACTCGAATTAATTTTCGGATATACGCAAGATAAACAGGAGGCAAGCTCGGACTTATTTTGAACCTCCCTGAAAATTGTTCACTAGCATTTTAATCAAAAATGATATAATAGTCAGCTCGCTGGAAGATCTACTGATCAATTTAAGCAGCCGTTGAATCTTAATGTCGAAGGGTCTGGTGTGACTGCCACCTACTATCATTTTCAGCTGGCGTTGCATTACAAAATAGCGTGCAATAAATCGCACAAAATGAAGATAGCTTGTTGAGGAGTCTCATTTCAAAACCTTGAGCCACTATATGATGGAGATGTATGTGGGAACAGGGTCTTGATACAGCTACTCAGCTGCTGTAAACATTTTGACAAAGTCCCCATTGCTAGGTAGCGCGGCCCCTTCATCTCCATCCCGTAGCCTATCATAACCCAACCTTCTGTCTCCTATGGTCATGGTTGAGTGAGTGTATTCAACACGGTAGCAATTCTAGCATTATGATTACTCAATTAGAGATTTGTTTTTTTGATAGAAGATACAAAATGGGGTTTCCCAAAACCAATTCAAAAAAATTTATTTGATTTCTGATAAGCTAGCTATGTGGCTATCTTATCGTCTATTGTGCGGGCCGAGTCGGTATGCATAGTCGGGAAAAATTATTTCTCGACCACATGATAACGGTCGCGATTATATATTAGCTTGGGTGAACTTGTTGATCGCGACGATTCTGCTCACTCTAAGTATACAAGGTTGCTGCAACAATCATATAGAATGACTACAACTTCAAATACGAATATTCCGAAACGAAAACCCATAGAAACTTTTAAAATGAAGAGTGAAGATTTGTCTGATGATAAGGACTATTGCCATGAGATCTCAAAAGAGACAAATAGCGATTTCAAAAGTATCTCAAAGAAGCTCCTGAGCTCCTTCTGGAAGCAAGTGAGTACGCGCGAGGGATGGATAGGCGAATACAACTACGCTCATTTGTTCACCCCAGATATATGGCCTTTCAACAAAAATTTCGAAAATTACCAACCGCCTTATTTTGGGATAAATGACAAAATCCCAATTCTACTAACGATCATACTTGGACTTCAGCATTGTCTGACACTAATAATCAGTCTTGTTTCTGTCCCTCTGATCATGGGAAGCGCTTTAAATTTTGATCTCAAGCAAACCCAGCATTTGGTCACATGTACGTTGATAACTGCGGGTATCGCTAGCTTTGCACAAATCACCAGGTTTCACATTTACAAGACCCCGTATTACGTTGGTACTGGTCTTCTTTCTGTGGTGGGGCCTACATTTGATGTGCTCGGGATTGTATACGCCTATGCTCCTAAGCAGTATGCAAAAGGGCTTTGTGAAATTGATTCAGACGGCAACTATCTCCCATGTATGCATGGATATGGCGCAATCTTGGGCACTATGCTGTGTACCGTATGGATACAAGTTCTGGTTGCATTCATCCCGCCTCGATACCTTAAGAAGATTTTTCCAAATATGGTCACAGGAAGCTTGTTAGTTCTTCTTTCTGTATACCTTGCAGGAAATGGCATGAAAAACTGGGGAGGTGGTAGTGGATGCATGGATTCCAGCGCTGGTTGTACCATAGGCTCTTACACTGAACCTTGGGGTTCCCGGAGATTTATCGGGTTAGGGGTTCTCACTTTCACATCCATTCTCATTGTCAATTTCATTGGATCACCCTTGATGAAGAGTTCATCAATTATTTTCGGCCTGATCATTGGATGTATGGTCGCCGCTGCATGTGGCTACTGGGATGCTTCTGGAATTCGTTCAGCACCTGCAGCAGACTTCATGTGGACCGAGAATTATACGTATTCAGTGGATGGTACACTGGTTTTGCCATTCTTACTGATGTTCATCGTTGAGGGAATTAGCTGTATTCCTGATATCCTCGCAACAGCCGAAGCAAGTCACCAAGAAGTAGATGGAGAGACTTTTCAGTCTCGTGTCCAAGGAGGAATAATGTGTGATGCATTAGGGAGTTTGCTTGGAGCTGTAGGTGGTGGAATGCCTATGGTGTCCCAAGCTGCTAATAACGGAGTCATTTTGCTTACCGGATGTGCATCGCGAAGAGCTGGGTGGTTTGCCGCATTCTTGCTAATACTGCTAGGTCTATTCTCCAAGATTGCAGCTACATTTTGCTCTCTACCTTCCCCAGTCTTCGGTGGGATGCAAATATTTTTGTTCGGAACCATGGGAATCGCTGGTATTAAAGTTCTTTCCACAGTTCCTTGGACCCGAAGAAACAGATTTATCTTGACGGCCGGATTAGGATGGGGTTTTTCTGGTTGTGTGGTTCCAGGATGGTTTGATTTGGTTATCAATTATCAAGGTTCGAACCAATCTCTCGCTGGATTTGTTGAAGGGATTGAGCTAATTGTCGAAACACCATTTATTTTTGGTGCTATAATCGTCTTCATACTAAATCTATTGATGCCGGAAGATACTCAGTCAGGTGGTACCTGTTCGAACAACGGCATTGCCGAAAGAGACGCCACGTCTCTTATTGTGTGATTGAAGAATTTAATACAAGGTTTGACAGAAAGCTTATTTTATTTTCCCCTTAACATCGTCGGCCATTATTTGATCCTATCAATTCTCCCAGCATTATCTGAATTGAGTAGTCGGCTATAGATATTGATTTTCAGGAAGAGCCCAAGATCAGTTTGTTTTTTTCGTCTGGAGCTGCTGGTACCATAGTATCAGTAATCCGAAAAATAAAGCATGAAAGAAATTTTCTGTGAGGTAAAATCGTGAAGAGGAGGGTCGATGAAGTCAATGTTAGAGCCATCACTGTAATGTTCCAAGTTTTCTGGAACTGAAAATGAACTCATAACAGTGGTCTAAGGTCGGCGGTACGTATGTTCGTGGTTGTCTTCTTTCTTCTTTCGATGGTTCATTTGCCTCTTGTCAGACTTTTCCTATTTTGAAGCGAATTGTCTTGCAGCTTCGTCAGAACAAAACACGTTCTTGAAAGTCTCATGTGCATTAGAGCTAATGATCAAATCTTGTAAAATACTGTATCAATCTCTCTTGAAGCAGGAATTGTCAGTGAAGAGTCCATTTGAGATTACTATCACTACATGCAAAGGTCTGGCGAAAAGACTAATGAAGAGATCGAAAACAAAACGGGAATGTTTCAACTGTGTACCCCTTTTCAAGAAGCCTTCAACCTCAAGAATTCTCAAAATTTTTGATCTGGAAATCGGGCCTGAGAACTATGCAAGAGCTGCAAAGAACGTATCTACAGCTTTTACGCCGACAGTTCCCTGTCCCCGAAGATGATGCAGGTAGTGGCAGACCTTAGCGATATTATGACAACACCTAGGATGTACTATTACGGAACACACTTAGCCACCCAATCAAAGAGTCCTTGAGAAATATGAATCAAGGAATGAACAATATTGAGGTAGTCTTAATGGAATATGAAATCGTCGCACTGAGTGATCAGTATAATGAGTTCTTGAAGAAGACTCGATACGTTCCAGCAATAATCCAAATCCGACTTGAGGAATTTCTGATCTTCGAACAAGCTTATTCGGCTCTCGATGTTCTGAACATCGGCTCAAAAACAAGAGATTTGTTGCGGTTCTTTAAGTCTGATAAACGATGATGAACTGGATGCAGAGATATTTGAGAGTGACACAACTCGTTTGAACTTCAGAGAATTAAAGAGGATTTTTTTAGCCCGGTCAGTTTCCCTTGCCTAAGCAAGACATTATCTCGGAGAAGATGGCTACGGGAATCGATCACATGCTTACTCACTGTCAATTCAAATCATACAATGATTTTGTTGTCAATGAAGACAATTTTTTGGACACTTCTAGTGAAGAATACTGGTTGGCTTCGGGCGCAACGATCCACATTTCGAACAATGCGGACCATCTTGATCACCTTACACCATTCGAAGGGTTAGTCAAAGAACTAGGCTCTAGCGTGGCTGTGAAAGTTCCACTGCTCTTCACAGTGCGCTCAATTCAACAGCCTTCATGTTAACTAAAGATGGATTGTTTATGAATGGTGCCAAGTACGGAATATCCGACAAAAATAGACTGGTCAAATCCATCTATGTCCCCTCATGTGCTCTTGAGGAAAAACCTTTTTTACTGACCAATATCTGTCCCAAGTTCCTTCATTCATCAAAAGCTGGCGTGAAGTAATCTAAACTGTTCGTAAAATGATTCGACGAGGACGCAAATTCAGATCCAAAAACTCATACCCATTAGTTTTTCTTTCCTCTTGCTGAAATTATTCACAGTTGCTTAGCTAATTGATTATGAGTATTTCTCTGCTAACGAAAGATCTATTGATTCAAATGTGTACAAGATGAGCGTGCTTCTTTCAATGTGTGGTCTCGTGTGTGTTTCCCATTGGTCCGAGAGTCACTATGGTAGAGTCTTTTGTCGGGGCCAACTTGTAGCAAATTGACTATCGTTTATTGTTGAGCTAAAGCAAGTTAATCTCAGTCTGCTTACCCAATTCTATTTTTTTATACGTCGTTGATTATGTAAGATAAGACAAAGGAGCGTGGAACTCAGATGCTGAGGTCTATTGCTGCACTTCGTAATACTATTCAAAGGGGTGCCTTTCTCTTCATTCAAATACAGAGCAATCCTGAAATTGTGTATCTGAGAATACTATTAGTTATATCTACCATAAACCAGACAGACCCATATGAATATTCTCTGTCAAGTCACAAACGGTCTCCCGGTCCGCTTGGCTAGCCAATTTCCTGCACGCCATTCTATATGCTTGTGTTAGCACGCAATCTTATCCTCAGGATCCTAAATAGATTTTTGCCTATGCATCAAGCAAATGTATAAAATTCTTTTCCTAAGATGTCTTACTTCTTCAGTATCCAATAATGTTGTGGTTAATAGCTCACTCTGTTGAAGAAGATAGTCCCAAAGGTATCAGATGATTATGTTCTCGCTTACTTATGGAAGCGAGAACAGTTTATCAGATATATTATGTCAGCAAGAGAAGAAAGAAGATCTGGCGCTTAAGATAAGGTCTTATATACAAGGAGCGTTAGCCCACTTTATATAACTAACTGAAATAAATAATTAGGAGTGTCTTACAAGTACCTAAAGTTATAAGATGTCCACAGCTAATTCATCACTGACATCGCTACTCAATGCATTACAACACACTCTTCTACTATATCAGTTAGGTAAGTTGTTCTCTTTACTATGTGGTGGAAACTCACATACTAATAGAATCCTCAAGATGGACTTGTAACAATCCCATCCGATCCTTAATCACTTCTGAAACACGTCACCTATACTCTATATGATGTGTCATTTGCTTACATCAACTTCCTTATCAGTCAAGGTCACCTGATTCGGTCACGACTAGCTCCATCACAACAAAATGTGAGCCTACGTAAGTCACTTCACAAAGTAGATTAGTCATATGATTCTCAAAAGCAGCTTTTGAAGTCATATTGGGTTATTGACATCTTTGAATCTTGTTGCATTCCATCCAGTAGTGATGTATGCGGTGAAAAAGTTGAGGAGAGGATTTTTATAACTTTAAGGTGCTTATAAGATACTTCTGATTGTTTATTTCAATAACTTATATAAAATGGGCTAGCGCTCCTTTTATATATCTTCTGTTGGATTCTTTCCATTAGAAGCTCCAATAGTTTAGTGTTCTTTGCAGTTGTAACTGATTTAAGCTAACCTTAATAAGTATGTATAATATAATACTTTGATATGATACAAGTTGTCCCCGAGTAGGGCTTCTCCCTTTCCCTAAATATCATTATGTGAAACATTTCTCATTCAAAGGCATGTTTCATATAATAATAAAATCTCCGGTCTTATCAAGCTGGGCTGGCTGACCTTGCATAAGCGAACGACTGCTCTGCGTTTGGATCTTATCGGTTTGCAAGTACCTCAATATTCAACATCTTTTTATGTTAGTTGCAGACCTTCTCCTTCTGATATATTTAAGTAGTAGACTCTACTCTCTTGTTTACTTAAGCGAGTAGGTATCACGTAATACCTCTCAATATATCGTCTTCAATGTTTGTAACTTGACAGATAATACTCATATAGGTCTGTCTGGTTCATGGTAAATA